GTCCCTGCCCTACATAATTTACAGCTATAAAGACTAGTAAATATTGGGCAAAGGATGTAGCTTACAGGAGAAGCACAAAATGTGAACATTAATAACAAATATGATTTCTGTTAATGAGAGAGATTGGACAGAATTTAGGTTTAACCAAATAGATTTTTGTGATTGTTTTTCACTTGTTTATTTTTCCTCTACCATTCTAGATCTTGCGTGCAGTACTTAAAACTGGGTTTGCGAGGTGAATATAGGAGAACTTGGAGAAACTGGTTCCTTTAATGTTTGTTTTTTCAGACACTGCTTTAAAAAAAAACTTAAAAAAAAAATAATGTTTCCCTCTGACCAGGCTTCAGGTTAAATTCTGATCTGTTGCAACACAGGATTCATTTTTTTACAGATGAGCTAAGAATCATATAGTCAAAATCTTGCCTGTACTTATTCTTTGCTAAGTAAATTATGCATCTGCTTTTTCAAAACTTTTTGCATGACCCTTGGGCAGAAAACCTGTAGTTCAGTAAATTTAAGTTCTCTGTCTCACTGTTACTAATAACGTGCACTTTCTGATTTTAGGTGAAACTAATTCGTGAAATTGCTTCATGCCACGGAATTTTAATTACATCTTATTCATACATTCGACTGATGCAAGATAACATCCACAGCTATGACTGGCATTATGTGATTCTGGATGAGGGTCACAAAATCCGAAATCCAAATGCTGCAGTAACCCTTGCATGCAAACAGGTACTTAACGATTTTAAGCACTCTGGGAGGTGGTTCCAGAATCTAATAGCCTGTATTATGTTATGATAAAAATACACAGTTGACCATTAATACAGAATAAAAGTGAAAATTGCAGTGGTTTGTATATGACTATTTAATTTGCTTAACATTTTAAATGAGTTTACATTGGCATTTACAGAAGCCTGGTAGAGAATAAAAAATTATCAGAAGTTTTAAATTGTGTCATCATTTACCAGTAGGGACAAATGTCAGGTTGCTGGTGTTCATTTTCTGCTAAAAAATTATGGACAATATATTGCAAAAGCTGTTTCTTTCAGGAACAGGAGGCCACATATTTTAAGATAAGAATTCATTGAGGTGAAATTGAATATCCTCTGAGGCAGCAGGCAGGTTACACCATGAAAATAACTTCCTTTTGGTTTTCTGTTTTTTTTTTTTTTTTTTATTAACAGTTCCGCACACCGCATCGACTCATCTTGTCTGGCTCCCCTATACAGAATAACCTAAAGGAGCTTTGGTCCCTCTTTGACTTTGTATACCCAGGGAAACTGGGAACACTACCTGTGTTCATGGAGCAATTTTCTGTTCCAATAACAATGGGAGGATATTCCAATGCATCAGCTGTCCAGGTAAATGCTTAAAAAATATCGCTTTGTGTGAAGGAAACTGTTATGTTTTATGAAAACTGCCTTTTAAACACACTTCATGCTGTATGTTCTAGACACTAACCCGAAAGAGAGTTGCATGTGTGTTTTACTGCTGGGTATGTGAAAACACCTGTTCAACTACATGAGACTGTTCCATTTATACATGTTTTTTTTGCCAAAAGCCCTAAAATTTTAATTAATTTGAAGTATTCTTCGATGTAAAGATAAGTAAATTGGGGTGAGAGGTACCTGATCTTACACTTTCATGCATTTAAATAGAACTTACCTGTTTGATATCAAGCTTCAGTGAATTGTGAAACAGAGGAATCAAATTAAATTCAAATTGAAAACTTTCATTTTAAAAGCTAAAGTAAGTATTGGAAGTCTGAAAGTAGATAAGCTATTCAATTCTGAAAGGAAAACATAATTTGGAATATTTTTTTAATAAGTGTGTCGATTAATCTCTGTAGTTGTGTTTCTTAGTATTTATGACTTAAACATTTTTCAAATTAGCTGATAAATAAATTGTCTGCATAATAAGCTGCAGGTTAAGTTTTATATAAATTCTAATAAACTTGTATCCTTTAAAATATTTTTGTAATGTTTTGCACACATACATTTCTAAAGTTTTATTTTCTTTTTGAGTTCAAGTAATTTCCTTGTCTAAAGCTTAGTAGTTTACTAAATTGGGCATCCAATTTGGTTTATATATGTATATATCAATAATTTATTATATTCTTTGTTTTGCTTTAAGAGAAATGAAGGTATTTTTAGCCATTATGTGCAGATAAAACCCATCTCACACATCCATTACCCATTATAGAACCATATGCTCCATTTAAGGCCAGAGTGACCTTTAGTTTCTGTGATCGTGGGGGTTTTCTTGTACTGATTTTTTGCGTGTGTGTTAATAGTCTCAGGCGAGCACTAATCTTCACTTATTGCCCGGTAACCACCATTGCTGCAGGCTTTCCTTTTGATCTTCAGGATATGTATTAGCAGTTTTTCATGAGGATTTTGGTTCTGTGCAAGTTTACATTTACTTCTTAGATTGGTTTCTAAAAGAAATATTTCTAGTCTCTTTTAAAGACCACTAAAGTAGAAGAGATAAATTAGTGGTATCTGAGAAATACTTAGTGTCATTGTTGCTAACATGAATTTCATTGCAGTTCATGTTGTATCAAATATCTCAGTAGATCCACATAAATCATAAACCATCTCATTTTATTAGGTTTTTTTATTACTACTTATGGAACTTTGCTTGTTGCTAAAATTAATATCAAGAACCAAATTACAGTTTTTGCTTTTTCTTCCTTTTTCAGGTAAAAACTGCATACAAGTGTGCCTGTGTGTTACGGGACACCATAAACCCCTATTTGCTGCGAAGATTGAAGGCTGATGTAAAAATGAGCGTTTCACTTCCAGATAAAAATGAACAGGTTTGCTTATCTTTACTATTAGATCTGAGCCCTCTCCTTCTCCAAAATCCAGTCTTTGAGCTTGAGTGGTTTGTTTGTTTGTTTTGGTAGGTCCTATTTTGCCGTTTGACAGATGAGCAGCGTCAAGTCTATCAGGAGTACATCAACTCTAAAGAAGTTTACCAGATTCTCAATGGAGACATGCAGGTTGGCATTAATTAAGGTTAAAGACAGGTAGAGTTTGATGGATAAAGTCATGGACTGATCTTAACGTTTTTCTAGCTGGATTCTGAGCAGAAAGGGAAGCAAGCACACTGATCTCAGTTCTGCTTTGGTGGATGTCTGGGTTTTTCGTTTTTTTTCCCTCAGAAATGTTTCTTGAAATATGTAGAGTTAGTGATCCATACGTAGTGGCATGACCAAATAAATGTAGGAATGGAATGGGCTGGATTCATCCATTGCTGTTTATTTTTCTCCTATATAGATACAACTATTTGTAAAGAAACTAAAAATATTTTTCTCCTGTACTCTTTAGATTTTCTCAGGACTAGTAGCTTTGAGGAACATTTGCAACCACCCTGACCTCTTCTCTGGTGGTCCCAAAATTCTGGAGGGTGTACCAGATGCTGAAGTGGAGGAAGCGGATCAATTTGGATATTGGAAACGTTCAGGGAAAATGATAGTGGTAGAATCCTTGCTGAAAATCTGGCACAAGCAAGGTCACAGAGTGTTGTTTTTCACTCAGTCAAGACAGGTAAGATGAGCTAATTGGTTTTAGTTGCTACTAAGACTAAAAAAGTAAAACGTTTTGATGACTAAAATGTTTTTGGTTGTCATCTTGTTTGATTGGCACTGCAGTTAGTATGAGAAATTCTTGTAACTGGATCAGACAGTTGCTCTGTCACTCAGTCTTCATGTCTGGATTTTATTTTTTCCCATCACAACAGATGCTGCAGATACTTGAAGTCTTTGTGAGAGAGAGAAACTATTCCTACCTCAGAATGGATGGCAGCACCACAATAGCTTCCAGACAGCCCCTTGTAACAAGATACAATGAGGTGAGATGTTGCATCCCACACACTAATGCCTATTAGTGAATATGGTCAAACTATTGCATTCCTTTTTTGTCTGTTTTTAAGTATACTACTTCAGGTTTGAAATACAAAACTTGGGAGTTCAGTCAAATGAAACCACTTTCTTTATGAGAGGAGAAAAAAGTCACCACTTCTTTCACACTTAGGTTGGGTTGTCTGCTAAGAAAAAGAAACACCGTTGAAAAGGGGGCAAAAGGAGGCTTATTGGACAACAGTGAATGAAATTTAGATCAACTCTTTTATTTGTCAAAAGATATATTGGGCAAACAATATATTACTTCTCTTGGCTCCCTTTGCATCTTTGCAAATAATGCTGATAACAAAAGAATCCAGGAAAAAAAAAAAAGTCTGGTTATTGCTTTGTTAATTTTTGTTTTAGTAAATTCTCTCTCATATTACAGGACAAATCTATCTTTATTTTTCTTCTGACAACTCGCGTTGGTGGCATTGGAGTTAACTTGACTGGTGCTGATAGGGTTATTATTTATGATCCTGACTGGAATCCCAGTACAGACACACAGGTGAGTTTGGTTCATTACATTGCATTTACTAGCTAAGTTGAAATAAAACTGAAGACAAAAGGACATCTATCTCCTCAGATACTGTTAACACACTGTGGTGCTATTCCCTAAGTTGGTGTTCCCAGCAATGGTCACTTAGGGTGCAGTTCCACATCAGGATTACTCTTGTAGCAAAGCCAATTGAAGTGGTTCCCACCACATCCCCTTTGTGCTGTTAAACCTTGCCACTCTTCAATATTTTTGATTCACATAGCCTGCTTAGAGTGTAGCCAAATGAACAGTTGAAATAGGCTGGGGTTTTTACATAAATAAATAAACAAACTAGGTGTTTATGAGGGGAAAGTACAGCTGTGCAAACTTTTAAGCATGCCTGTGGCAATGTAGGATAAGAAAAGGAGAACAAGTGCTACTCAAATTGGCTTTGTCACTAAATAATGATATGTAGCTATGCCCTTAGAAGCTGCTGTTAAGTCAGTACCTTAATTTTTTTTCTCTAGCTGATGGTATAATGAGACTCTGGTTTGTCACATCTCTTAACAGCACATGAGGCTTATGTGCTTAAGAGAAAAAAAAAAACACAACCTACTTTGGTGGAAATCCTACATAGCTCTGGGCTGTGAAAGTATGTACTCTGACTAGAGTGGTCAGTTTTAGTAGTTGGTTCAGATGTTTTTAGGAAAGCCTGCAGTTTGGAAAAAGAAGAAAAGTTCAAAGGAAATGTGTATATTAAAGCTCTATTGTGAAATAGATCTCTTTGGGAATAAGTCCATATAAAGTATGTATCATAGATACAAGTTCCAGTTTTAATACAGTTTATTTTTTGAGGTTTTTTTGTACAATTGGGACAATTAGAGGCCTGTCTTTTTACATATGTAAACTTTCAAAATTGTTCTGCTTTCCACTGAGTTAGTTGTTCTAATACTGTATCATGGCCATGTAACTTCTTGACCTGTGTGTTGAATGTCCAAACCAGGTTTGAAACAGTGGTATCAATAGCTTTTTGTCAAATAAACGTTTAAGAGGCTAATGTCTGGTAACAAAACCTTTTGTGTTCCAGGCTCGGGAACGTGCTTGGAGAATAGGCCAAAAGAAACACGTGACTGTGTACAGACTTCTCACTGCAGGTACTATTGAAGAGAAGATATTCCACAGGTCAGTCAGAACAACTTCCTGGATACAGCTATATGCTCAAGAATAAGTTTGTAGTGAATCTGAGGTGTTGTAACAGTGACATACCTGTGCATGTGCACACATGGCTGGTAAACCCCAACCTTGGTCATCATCACAGGTATCTCATTGAAAACTTTTATAACACTAGACTCCTAGCTGCAGGGCTGTGCTGCTGCCTCTCTAGCTCCAAGACCCACATGCTAAATATACCTCATCAATCTGTTCCAGGAGCTGTGCCTAGCACAGAAAGAATTCACTGTATATGAGAGTGTGTGAGGCATAGCCAGGAAAAACTGAACCCCTTACTCAGAACATGAGACTCATCAAGTCTGAAATGTAAACTGAAATCAGCAAGTTATTTATATTGTTCTTAGGATATGTAAAGATGTATGTGGTACATACATCTCTTTACTACTTTGCAAACCCAGTTTGATTTTATTCCCAAATCGTTCCAAAGAGAGAATTAAATCCCGAGAACTAGCAGTCGTATTCACATTATTTATTCCAAAATATAGCTAAAGCCTTAAAGTGATTGTATTTTGAAATCAATGAAACCTTTTTGGTTTGCTTTCCCATTCAAGTTTTCTCAGTAGTTAGCTTCACTCACATGAATTCCAAATGAATGTAGATGGGAATCCTCTGACTAGGCATTACTCTTTGGAACTGGAATATCCTCTTTGAAAATGAAGATGAATTAAAAGCTCTAAATAATGAAATACCTGCATTTATTGAGTGCCTTTTTTAATCTGTTTTACCACACGGATGCAAAGCATCCGCTGTTGGTTGGCTGGTGTCCCTCTGGCATAATTCTGCTTGAACAGCACTGACCACATCAAGGAAGTGGGCTCAAACGGTCAGGACAGCCATCAGAAATTAATTTCTTTCCAGAACAGTACAGTGGACCTTGAACTTTAAGCAAGTTGTCTTTTCTCTTTGCTCATGTCCTCTTCCCTGCAAATACGTGCTCATCTCTGCAGAAAGCTATGAAGCTCAATTAATTCTTAAAAACTCTAAAGTCTTCTGATACGTGCGCTGCAGTAGCTGGCACCTGTGTTAAATTTGTCTTCTACCTATTGGATTTAAAAGTAGTTTCCCTGCTTAATGCCAGCAGAGCCAAAACCATGATTAAAACCTTTCTTGAGAACTGATTTCCAGCTTTATTTAGGGATATATCTTTTGAACAGGAAAATAGTGCCTAGAACTTGCAATCAAATGCTGTCAGGTACAAACATGGCATAGAAGTAGATTTACCAGTACTAGATGACTTTTTGCAGCTTAGTATTCCCCTGGAGTTGTTCCTTTCTGGAAGGATAGAGACGGGCTTTTTCTTGCCTTCCTCTCCACTACAACTCATATTTCCCTTTTCAGTGGTTGTCACCCACTTATCACCATCAGACTGAGATACTCTTCTGCTTTTGATTCCTCCAACCAGTTAAACCATTAAAATGTTGTTTTAGCAATCTCTTGTTTTTCTTTCAGGAACTTTCTGATAGTCTTATTGTAATACAAGCAAGCTTGTCCATTTTAATGGACACACGCAAAAAAAATCTAGCTGTAAATTTATTTATTGCTTAGTTAAGGAATGCCTCATAGGACATTTCAGGGTGGTGGTTACCTGTTGTGTTATTGAGTTGTTGCAGAACAATAAATCCCTGTGTTTAACAATTTAGTTGGTTGTTTGAAAGTTACTAACTCAAGATTGTCTTTTCGAAACTAACATCATCTTCCTACTGCTTAATTGTTCTACAGGGTAATGTTTGTGTTTACGCAGTTTTCTCTTTAAGTACTCTATTCAGTACTTAAACATAGCTAGACTTTTTTTCACACAAAAGTACTTTTTTTTTCTTTTTTAGACAAATCTTCAAGCAGTTTTTAACAAACCGAGTGCTGAAAGACCCTAAGCAGAGGCGCTTTTTCAAATCCAATGACCTTTGTGAACTTTTTACTCTGAGCAGCCCAGATGTATCTCGGGGGACAGAAACAAGTGCAATTTTTGCAGGTACATGATTTTTTTTCTATTTATTTTAAACAGAAGAGTGTTTGAAGTGTTTGATAAACGGATACTAATTCACCCCTCAGGTACTGGATCAGATGTTCGAGTCCCAAAACGCCACTTGAAACGGAAACTTGAAAAGCCACCTGATAATGACACTTCTAGAGGTGATCTTCATCTTACAGAAAGCAGTTCACCAAAGTGCATCAAGTTATCCAATTCCTGCTCAACCGCCGACATGACAAATTCTTCTTCCAAAGCAATAGAGACAAGTGAGGAAACCAAAGGCAATTTGGAAGCCTTTGACCAAAACAACTATGCAAAAGATAATGCACAAGCTGCTACTAATATAAATTCATTGAATAAAAGCAAGGAGGAAGGCTTGGAAAGAGCTGACAAATCTACATCCCACTTACTGCCAGGTGATGCAGGGTCTTCAGAGAATACCAGATGTCTGGAATCCATGGTGGCTGATGGAATACCTGGAGCAGCTAATGCAAATATCAAGGGAGATTTTAGCCTTATGTGTGGTGCAGCTGGCTCTTTTGAAAAGCACGTTGCTAAAACTGAAGATGGACAATTAGATAATAATCATTATAAATGTACCTCAAAAACAAAGCACAGGGTAGATACGCTGTCACACAAGGGTCACAAAGATAAGTCTAAGAAGAAACGGCACAAAGATGCCAAATTTGAAGGAGAGCGCATTCCTCATCTAGTGAAACAAAAGCAATACAGAAGGGAGAACAGTGAAGAGAAGGAGGAAGACTCAAAGAAAAATGATGATTACGTCTTGGAGAAACTTTTTAAAAAATCAGGTAACTTATTTGGCTGCTCAGTGGTATCAGACTGTTCACACAGAGGTATATAGGACTTGCAAGTGAAGGAAGGAGCAGTTCTGTTACTCTGATAGCTAAGAGTTATAATTAAAAATTGTGGTCTTTTTCTATTCTGTTACTGTAGTGAAACATTAAAACTTTCTTCACTGAAATGCTGTAGTTATGAATGTGTTAATTACCTTGACACAAATATTTCAGATCTGCAACCTTCCAGAAATGCTTCTGTGTATAGAAGTAATGCAGTGTTTCTTCTGGAAATTAGGATGTAACAAACCTTCATTTACACAAGGGTTTCACTTCTGTCTGTCCTGTCCCTAACAACAGGAATGATCGATTTACCCACATAATTGCCAAGTCTGTTTTGAATAATGACCTCATCAGCACACCAGAAGTGGTTTTCTGTCAAATTGATTGCTTAACTGATACAGGAGGTTCTCTTATTAGAAATGACTATACTGAAGTGCTGAATATAATCAGCCTGAAAAAGGAAAAACATGATTGTGGCCTTCACTTAAATGGTGAATATTTAATTTTACAGCTAACCAGACATATTAACAGATGTCCTCCTTCAGCTTTTCTTTTATTTTCTGGTTTTTAGGGGTACACAGTGTTATGAAGCATGATGCTATTATGGAAGCTTCCAGTGCAGATCATGTGCTGGTGGAAGCAGAAGCAAGCAGAGTAGCCCAGGATGCCTTAAGAGCCTTAAAACTCTCTCGACAGCAATGTTTAGGAGCTGCTTCTGGTGTGCCAACGTGGACAGGCATGAGTAGTCCTTCACGTGCACCATCAGGAATAAAGTAAGTTAAGTTCTCATGCTGCTTTTCCAAAAACAGAGGAGTTCCTTAGGATGCTATGGATTTTTTTATTTTTTCCACTTGGTATTTGCAGTAACATGTATCAAAGTGGAGTTTTGTGTTTTATATTTAATAAAGACAGGAAGGCATATTACAAGCCTAGGAAGTCCATTATGAAGTACAAAGAAAGCATTATTGTTGCACAGCAGAGGAGAGAGAGCTTGGCAGAGAGCTCATGAGAACCCTAAAATGCAAACCCAGTCAGTGCCTTTGGCGAAACTATCTTAATCATTTTGAGAAAGATGTTTTATGGAGTTAATTATTTTGTGATTTTTTTTTAGAAGTCGGTTTGGTCAAAAAAGAAACTTGATGCTGCTTTCTTCACACTCCACTTGTGTGCCACCTGCGAAGAAGCGCAAGGTATGACACATAGGCTAATATTTCTCTTCTAATAGCTGAGATATAAGGACTCCCTGAAACAATACCTTAGCCTTGGCCATATTGACTACCATCAGTGGTCCACCTTGGCCTCCAGTCGGGAGACTTGGAGGCACACCATACATAATGCCGCTGACTCCTTTGAGAGTTCACGAAGAACTAGTCTCGAGGAGAAAAGACAACGCAGGAAGAATCGCACCCCACCTGTACCACCCAAGGAGACCTTCTGCTGTGCTTTTTGTAGCCGGATTTGCCTATCCCACATTGGCCTTCTTAGTCATCAGTGCGCTTGTAGTAAGCGTGGGTAAATGCCCTTCCCAAATCTTCGTTCGCGAAGTCAAGCCATGAGTGAGTGAGATGATGAATAGCTGATACATGTGAAATGTTCCAATTTATGCAGCAAACCTGATTAATACTGTAGATCTCATACCCATATGCTATATGATTATAGAATCATAGAATGGTTTGGGTTGGAAGGGGCCTTAAGGATCATTGAGTTCCAACCCCCCTGACATGGGCAAAGACATCGTCCACTAGACCAGGTTGTTCAGAGACCATCCAGCTAACAGAAGACACTGACAGGAACATCCACAGCTTCTCACTACCCTCACAGTAAAGAACTTCTGATTATGTTGAAACATGTCTACCCTTCACCTACCTGCTACCACCTCTTAGCCACAGGTTACCATGCCACAGCTGCTGAAGAGCAGTTAAGCATATGCTCCAGTATGTGCTGTGGGAGTGAGTGGTGATCATAGTAAGAGGAAAAGCAGTCCAAGCTGCTTCAATCTTTTGTGAAGTGAATATGGTCTTATAAGCAGTGATTCATGAGTGAAGATGGACAACAAATGAGGTAATGGTGTATGTAAAATTAGAGTAGATTCATGACTAACTCAGTATGTGTATACCAGAGGCAGAGCAGACAGCCAACCCACCAGGACCTGGAGCCTTCAGACCTGGATTAGTTTAGCCATATTTCAACATAGGTACTGCTGCAGGAGGTGGACTCCTACCTCAGCCCTCACTGTTTGGGCCCAGCTTCACACAACCCTATACTGCTCTCTTTTTTTCTGTTTCCAGCCATGTAACACCATGCAGATAGAACACACAGGATTTCAGATTTCCAGGAGGAATGTATAACTCAATGGGCATATCCTGGGCTTTTCTTCAAAACTCAAATCAGAGGCCTTTGTGAAAGGTTTTTCATTATCTACATCAAAGCCATGCCCACAGGCACTCCCTGCTGTGCTTCACCCTGGAGAAAACGGTCCCAGCTCTTTTCCAGATCATCCGCATGCCTACCTCTGAGGAGCCCATTACCTCATGCTTTTCCAGGGAATTTATTTGCTCCCTGGAGCAATCCCCAAAGGTCTCAGGGCAGCGGAGAAGGGCTCTGCTCTCTGATTAACATACTGAGCTCTGGGTGCACACAAGATTGGAGGTGTTCCTATTACATAGAGTTCTAGAAATTTTAGTCACCCATGAATTTAATTTTTCATGTTGTGAAATAGCATCTTGATGAAATCTAATTAGATATGGCAGTCACAGATTGCAACATGATCTGGTTATCTGTCTCAAGACCAGCACTGCTTTTCTTTCACTTCCTAAGTTCTAAAGTTAAGACCAGAACATATTAACTCTTTATTGTGTATTTCAGATGACTGTTCATGTTTGTTGTTTAAGTCTACACAGCAGGCAGATTTTGTTTAACAGATTGGGTAGATTTCAAAATCCAGCTTTCTCCATAGTCTGTATGTTTGTTTGCAGGATGCAGATAAAATAAAGAAAGAAGATGTAAAGAAGTGTAGTACCAGGGGGTACTTTGGTGGAAGATCTGGACAATCATCATCCAGTGCACTAGACTCTTCATCTTTATTAGCAAAGATGAGGGCAAGAAACCACCTTATTTTACCACAAGAAACTGGGAATGAGGGAAATGAGAATTACCAGCAGGCATCTGCCCCACCCCCGTGTTCAACAAAATATGATGAACTGCTCGTGGATGTGCGTAATTTCATAGCATTCCAGGCCCGTGTGGATGGCGAGGCTACCACTCAGGAAATACTGAACCAGTTTGAGTACAAACTACCTGCGGCGCAGTCCTGTATCTTCAGAGAACTTCTCCGCAATCTCTGCACCTTCCACAGGAAGCCAAACGGTGAAGGTGTTTGGAGGCTAAAGCCAGAATTCCGGTGACTTTTGTCAAGGAAAGACACTCAACTACCATTCTTTTTTTTTTTTTTTTTTTTAGAAACTTACTGTTTATCTATTAAATTAAGGAACTATTTCATGTTCATGTTTTTACAGTATTTATATGAAAGTGTCATCTACCTCATTAATGAAACAATACAAAATATCAGCACCTTTTCTTTAAAAGAATTCTTAATATAAATGGGATGAAGAATACACTGACATTTTATTGCAGTAAGAGCCATGGATGTTGCTGTGGATTGCAAGATTTTTATTTGATTTCTGTGAAATCCCAAGAACTACTTCCTGATTTTCTGTATGTTACTTGAATGGTCACAGGGCACAGAGTGTACTATCAAAGAAAAATAGACAACAGTGGTCAGCGTAAGAGATTCACTTGTACTGCCAAGTGCCTCAAAATCATTGTATGACCCTTTCATGGGTAGTGAGAATTTTATTTCAATATCGATGCTTTCATTGTTGCCACTATCTAGCATGTGCAGTGTAACTTACATCACTAATTAACTTGGGAAATAATTCTACTGCCACAGTTTAATCACAGCAAATGGAAAACCTGACAGGGTATTGAGATGACTGGCAGTTGATAATTATGGAAAACTCATTATATTATGGAAAACCCATTTACACCATAATTGTCAGTTTGGTTGCACTCCCATAGACCACTGGCAATTGCTTGGTAAAATTGTTCTTTCCACTGAGGTGACAGTAACTGTTATGTTTGTCATAGGTTGTGGACTGAAATGCCCTGGAATGTTCCTGGGTCCCACTGTAATTCACTTCAAAAACATTACAATTCGTTGTTAGCACTTAAAATTTTATTCCTTAACAAAGACTGAGGTATTAGTTGGTCAGAGGGGTAATGTTTTCACTATATTTTACTAAACATAATCACATTTGGCAAGAGACATAATTGGAGCATATACAGAAGTTGCAGCTTATACCTGTTCTGTAGATAGGGAAGATCTCAGGCTTCCTGACAGTGAGGCAAGTTCTAATAATCATTTTCTTCCAAGGAAGAAAAGATTGGATTATTTGTAGCAAACCTGAGTACGACACTGGGTCTATCTTCAAAGTACCAGTATGCTATGTAAGGAGATCTTCAACGGACAAAGAACGGATAAATAACCAGATTCTTGCAGCAGCATTAAATTACTGTATGGGTTAAAAACTAGGAATAGTTAAATATGCCTAATGTCTTTCCTATTTGTAAACTGTTGAGAAAAGGGAAGGCTAAGCTACTTCAGTTTTTGTTCACTGTGAAAGTATTTTGTTTACTTCAAGTAAAAGTGCAAATACTGCAAGATGAATGGTGAAGCAAGAATCCAAACTGTTACTTTGTTCTCAAAGAAAAACAGTCTTGAAAATAACTTCCAGTGGCTTTTCCTCTGGTTTTTCCTCAGTGCTAAAGGATCTGTAGAGATCTGCAGAAAGTGGTGCTTCACTGTTTCAGTAACTGGTCAGTTGGCTTTTCACAAACTGCAGTTGGGAGAGTGCAGACAGTCCAAGACTGTTTCTTTTCCTCATGGCTTTTGAAAGTGTAGCTTTTGCACCTTTTCCTGACATCTCTTTTTTCTGATCCTGTTTATATTCCTTTACATTCCATCTTTCAGAAGAAAGATGATACCAAGACTCTAAGCTTGACCTAAACCATAGGTCTGTTGATATGACTTAAAATGGATCAGTAAAAAACAAATAAATTTTGCTGTTCTCTCCAAAGCTATAGGTATTTCTGATTGGTTTTGGGTGTCATGCCCTCCCACCACATCCCTAAGCCTCAGGAACAAACCAGGAATTCAGCTGTCAGCAAAGCTGCTTTTGCCACCTGAGCCTGGTGTCCTGTTTTATTTACTGCTTCCAGTCTTAAAGACATAGTTCCTGTACTAAGGAAAGTTTGCAGCTGCTCACTGATGTGTTAATGTAAATGGGTGTCATGGTTTAACCCCAGCCAGACAGCTTTTCACTCACTCCCCCCCCCCCCTTCTTGCCCTCCCCCTATTCCCGGAGGGACGGAGAGGAGAATCAAAGAGAATGCAACTCCCACGGGTTGAGATAAGAACAGTTTAGTAACTAACGTATAACACAAATCACCACCACTACCACCGATAATAATAACAATAAAGGAAATAACAAGGGAAGAGAGTACAACATTTCAGCACCAGCCAATCGATAACTCGTCCCCCCAGCCTGACCAAGCACTGACCGATACCTCTTCCAACCCTCCAGTCCCCTAGCCCTTCTGGGTAACTCTCTGTTACCTCCTGGGCATGATGTGCTGTGGTATGGAATACCTCTTTGGTCAGTTCGGGTCAGGTGTCCTATCTCTGCTTCCTCCCGGCTTCCCCTCCTCCCTGGCAGAGCATGAGGCTCACAAAGTCCTTGGCCAAACCAAAATATTGTTATCAGCTCTGTTCCCAGTCCGAAAGTTAAAACACAGCACTGCACCAGCTACCAAGAAGGAGAAAAATAACTGCTACTGCTGAACCCAGGATGTTATCCACCCCTTATTCCATACCATTCACGTCATGCTCAGATCCCACATTTTCAACATACCATCACTTTTATCTAAGTGCACTCTTATCTTAGTGCATGGACCAGACCCTATAAAGCTGCTGAGTCCATCTGGTCCGTGATGTCAGGTTCCACGTCTTGTAACAGTCTTTCAGAACAGGAGAGGCTGTGTGAAATATTGGATTGTTGCCTGCTGATGCTGATCGTTCCCTTACTGCAGAACTTGTCTGGTTCTATCAAAGTTCATTCGCTGTTGGGATGATGGTTGAAGGGAGGTCAGGGCTAGTCGCTGGTGGCCTGAAGACATCTGGTTGATGGGCTATAAAAGTATTACACAACAGGCAACAACATACAATTAAGTTCATTGGCTGTTTTCCCCTAAAATAAACCCAGCCAGACAAGACCCAAACCCGACTCTGCTTAGCTTTTGAGATCAGACAAAGTGGTGGTGGGTAAAACACAGTCTGTATGTGTGCCACCATGCTGATCCCCATCACAATCAGCAGGCAGGTCCCAAGGATACCCAAAGGCCTTCCAAAACCTTCAGAACTCTCAAGCGATGCTGCTGTACTTGTCACTGGGGCTGGTGTAGCTGCTGTGCTTGCCGGCTCTCCCACCACCAGCTTCTCTTTCTGAGTCCAGCTCTTCCTCCTCTGCCTTGCTGGGAAATGCTGCGGGGTCTTCTGCATCCTCCTGGGGCTCGGCGGGCAGCTTCCGGGGAATGCTCTCGGCCGTCGCGGGGCTGGGCTTGACCACGGGGCTCGGCTCCTCCGCGGGGCTCGGCTCCTCCGCCGCCTTCTCCCACTGCTCGGCAGCCGCCTCCTCCCGCTCCTCGACCGCCCTGACCTCCTCCACTGGTAGCTGTTCCCTGCTGGCCTCCAGCTCCGCTCCCGCCGCCGCTTGGTCCACGGGGCTGCTCTCCCAGGCCGCTTCAGCAGCCGCCGGCTCCTGGGGCAGCTCCCCCTTTGCTCCCCGCGGCCTCACACAGATGGAGGCGAGGGCGAGGGCCAGGACGGTGAGGAGCAGCCGGACGGCCAGGGACCAGTCCACGGCCATGTCCGTCCCGTCCTGTGCTGAAGCCCACCCGTATTACAAGTCATTGCCATAAAGTACAGTGAGACAGGAACCTTAGCCCAAGCCCCACACTTGATAAACACTAATACAGCAAATACCAGCGCTAAGTAATGTACTACATTCTGAAGCTGTGAGATCAAGAGGAACAAGTCTGAGCGTCAACAAATCAGCATTGTGATGAGTGACTATGAATCCGGTCAGATCTGTCGTTATCTCAACCCCTCGTGCCCCAAGTTGGGTGCCAAAAAGAACTGTCATGGTTTAACCCCAGACAGACAGCTTTTCACTCACTCCCCCACCCTTCTTTCCCTCCCCCTATTCCCGGAGGGACGGAGAGGAGAATCAAAGAGAATGCAACTCCCACGGGTTGAGATAAGAACAGTTTAGTAACTAAGGTATGACACAAATCACCACCACTACCACCGATAATAATAACAAAAAAGGAAATAACAAGGGAAGAGAATACAACATTTCAGCACCAGCCAACCGATAACTCACCCCCCCCAGCCCGACCAAGCACCGACCGATACCTCCTCCAACCCTCCAGTCCCCTAGCCCTTCTGGGTAACTCTCAAGTTACCTCCTGGGCATGATGTGCTGTGGTATGGAATACCTCTTTGGCTAGTTCGGGTCAGGTGTCCTGTCTCTGCTTCCTCCCGGCTTCCCCTCCTCCCTGGCAGAGCATGAGGCTCACAAAGTCCTTGGCCAAACCAAAACATCATTGTTATCAGCTCTGTTCCCAGTCCGAAAGTCAAAACACAGCACTGCACCAGCTACCAAGAAGAAGAAAAATGACTGCTACTGCTGAACCCAGGACAATGGACTTACATCTGCTTTTTATAAACCCTTGGCTTTTTATGGACTTAATAAAAAAGTAAAACAAAAAGTCTGTTCTAGAAGTCAGCTTTGGAGGTGGAGTGAGGAATGGGGTTGGGGAGACATCTTTTCTTGTATAGTGTGGCTCTGACCAAATGATCGGTATTATTTTTCATGCAACTTCAAATTATGCATCCTACCAACTAGACTTTTCTTCCACTACTTGCTCTTTTTTAAAGTGTTGAAGAGTGAGTGAATATTAGTATAATAGTAAAAAAAATATTTTTAAGCATTTAATGTCAAAAGTCAGCTCGTGATTAAAGGTCTACAGGCTTATTTATAGGCAAAAATTATTCTGGAATATGATATAGCTGCTGTATCTTTTGAAATAAAAGAGCTATTTTGGAACAATACTTTTATTCCATAAAGCATTATCTGATTTTTTTTTGTTTGTTTAGCTTTACCTGTGTAAAGTCAATTCCTTTCACATCTTCAAAGAATATCTGAAACAATTCCTAGCTAGTGATTATTGCATACTCAAATGTTTCCCATTAAGTAGCTTATATATACAAAATATTTTTAAAAGCATGGATTTTAGCCTTCTCAGTTTCCAAGTATTCAATGTCATGGTTAATATTTGTTATTTTATTTGTGTGTGATTTCAAAAATCACTTATGTGGAATGGGTGTGTTTTCATAACTTGTTTTCTTACCCAAGTAAAAACGGGATAAAGAACAATGAACACAGATGAGGAATTAAGTTGGAGGGGGGGGGGGGGGGAGAATCATTAATCCTATTAAGGAAAGACATTTCAGCATGAAACAGGGAGTATAATCTTAATAAAGTAATACACCAAAAGGAAGATTTCTTTCATGTGAAGATGCTAAAAGCTGAGCACCATGCTACTCCAAAAATGTCATGCTAATGGAGATTGGAGTGACCCACTACCCATGCAGCCTAACAGACAAATACAGTTAAAGAGATATCTAGAGAGCTAAATAGCAAAAAATCTTGGATTGTCTATAAGCAGTTAAAGGAACTGTGTACACTGGTTAGGTATAACATGCTGCTCTGGTATTTTAACAACAGAAGTTAAAACTTACCATAGCTGTTCCTCCTGGTTTCAAACCGTATTTGTGAGGGGGATAGTGGGAGTACAGAAAAAACCCTCTTGCATAGTTTTTAAAATGTTTCCCACCCCACCCATCCTATCTTACATTCTTCCAAGTGTTCATTTTCCTGTATTCATCCATTTGGTGAACACTTAAGTTTTGCATAGCAGACCCACTCATTGCTGCTGTAAGAACTAAATTCAGACCTAGAGAAAAGAGATTCTGCTAAAGGTTGTAGGCCTTTGTCTCTTCCAAACAACGATGACCCACCACAAAAGAAGTGTTAGCAAGATGCTGAATGGATAGATTGATAGAAATGGTGATTTTAGATGAAGAAGTGTATTGTTAAATCTATAACTTCATACAATGACTCAACCTCTTCTCAAAGGGCTACACCATGTGGAGATTTGAGTCTATTACAGCTAATAAATGTTACCCTCCCATGTAAAGATGCAGAGAATTGAACTTCTGTATCTGTAAATTTTGACTTCAGATAGTAGTCATCTATAGACAGTTGTACTCAAGTCATGAGGTCAACTTTGCTTTTGATTCCAAGATTGCTAAACTTGCCTTATTTTGACTACTAGAAAATAGTGCAATTCTCTGCCTTCCAGGTGGCTATAATAAAAGGACAAGACTTTCAGAAATTTTCATTTTTCATAAAATCTGGCAGCACTTTCCTTCTTTGAGCCATCTTTTTCTTTGAGCTTTCTTTGGGCTTCTTTTGAGTCACAGGGACTAAGAAGTTTCCGTTTCTTTGCCATTTACAACAATGCAGCTCCACTTACATGGACAGGCCGATGCTGTTCTTCAAGGACCTAGCCTTCTGATACTAGCTTTCATCAGAGCCAAAAAGTGTGTTGTGCTGTATGGGTATGACTGAAACAAAGAACGTTCGCCTTTCTCCAGTTTCTGTGTGCTTATTGATACTGCTGTAAGGAAAGGACAATTGGAGGTGAGTTTCGTTCCTGAAAAGGGATAGCACAGATTTTAATTGATTTTTATGAAGAATGATCCTGTGGGCTTCAGTTTTGGCTGAACTCCAGATACAGTTTGAGATGTGCTTTTCAAAAATTATGGAGATTGGTGATGGCAATAATTTTAGTAGCCATCAGAACAGACCTTTGTATCTTGATTCCTCTGTTAAAGTCGTACATGAAGTGAATTTGATTATACTGATCATAGAATCATAGAATAGTTAGGGTTGGAAAGGACCTTAAGATCCAAGTTCCAACCCCCCTTCCATGGGCAGGGACACCTCACACTAAACCATGCCACCCAAGGCTCTGTCCAACCTGGCCTTGAAAACTGCCAGGGATGGAGCATTCACAACTTCCCTGGGCACCCCATTCCAGTGCCTGTTAGCTTGCAATTGAATCGGAGCCTTTTTCCGCATCCACCGATTAACTTAGTTTGATAGTGGATGAATACTGCCAGGACCCATAATGCCCCACCACTACTGTGGAAATAAAAATCTCTTCAGAGAGGGAGAATGTTTTGCGTTTGCTGAGTCTGAGCAGGTACATAAAATCTCATTCATTCAAAAAACTCATTGTTCAGTAAACAATGACACTGCTGTGTAACAGTGTGAAAATGAGAGGGAAATCCTCATAACAGCATTGGTGGGAAGGGAGGAAATTTTCTAATAGACTTCAAAATGTTACACATTGAGATCTATCAAGAAAAAAACCCACCTACATATAATGTTATACCATACTTTCTTAGGGATGAAGATACCTAGGCAGGCATCACATAACTAGAAAAAGCAGTGTGAAAGTTACTCTTATGGAATGTATCCTTCAGGGGAGAGCTGTCATAGGAAGCAGTAATTTAAGCAATTAGTTTGACAAAACAGTCTTGGAGAAAAAAGTAACCTGAATAATGTTCTTCCAAAAGTGTGACACTTTTCTCCAACATAAAATCATTTTCTTCTGAAAAGAAGAAACTAGGTAGATTAATAATGAAATTCATGGGATAATACCTGACTTTTATTATTTTGCAAACTGGTGTGATTCCTATGTCAAATCTAGTAATAACAGTTTAAGCAGTTTTCTCTCTTGAGAGGAGGAGGTGTTGAGGCACAGCCATGTTTCAGTGGTTCAGCAAAGGACAAGTCTGTTGTGCTGGTGATGGCTGTGCTCCCAAATGGTATATAAAGATCATAGAATCATAGAATAGTTAGGGTTGGAAAGGACCTTAAGATCATCAAGTTCTAACCCTCCTGCCATGGGCAGGGAAACCAAGATTAGATTAAATGACTGAAAGATTAGATGTGAAAAGACCCCATAACAGCTTTTTCCAAACTTGGCTTACTATGGCCAAAAAAACATACAGAAAAATTAGGAAGGTCTTAAAGTTAGGCATAGTCACTGAGATGGTTTAAAATGTGGAGTAATCTACCTGTTTCATCTTTTAGGAGAGGGAAGATCTGGATTCTCCTGCTATAAAACTTCAGGTGACTTTGGATGTGGCAATATACTGCCTGCTGCATTGGTTTCCCCATCTGACAGATGCAGCATTACATGGAAGGCAGGAAATATTTCAAGTCCTTTGGAAATGCTTCGGGAAATGATAGCACAGTACAAGGAAGTTCTGATTGGGAAAAAAAAGGTAATATGGCATCTTGTTGTTTAGACCATTCATTCCTCAACTGTATTTTACACAAAACTATCATACAAAATTGCTGAGAGGCCAGTTTTTGAAGGGCTTGCATAAGGTACATGTCTTGGAGTCAGGATGTGCTGGCGAGTCTGCACTTGGGAGTCATCTCCTCTGGGAGAGGTATTTATATATTAGAAATATGGTAAAAACACTCTCTGCAACTTAGGTCCATTTATAATTTCCCTGTTCCAGCATTCAAGCTAAATGCTGAATTTATGCTTACTAACTCAGTGGCTCACTTCATCTACCCAGCTCTCATGGGATTGCTATTCTAGGCTCTGGGGTGACGTCAACACTCCTTCACACAATATCGCTGATGTGGTACAGTCCTATTCCTGCAGCTGAGACTTGGAAGATGAAGCTTTCATTATTAATTCTGAACTTTTGCTGGCAACATTGGTTTTTGCTGCCTTTACTGTCATTAAAACTAGAGAAGTCTGACATCTTTCATACATGGGCCATTCCTCTTTTTAAGTGAGTCTAAGGCAGCTGCTACGAAGTCAGTGAAGTACTTCACGTTCTTGCTCCCTGCCTGCAAAAAGACACTGTGTTTTTGAATGTGGTGCATCACTGTTAGGTTCAGGAGCAGAAACTATTCTTCCCCATGTTGAGACACTAAACTAGGAACTAAAGAAGTGGCACAGAGCATACAGTGAAGGGTCAGGCAGCTGTGTTGAGAAAGCAGCAACTTCCAGCTTCCTCTATCCACTAGTTTCTTACTGTGCGTGCTAAACATGAAATGAATGGGAGAAGGGAGAGTATATTCTGAGCTGAGCTCTTCGTTTCTGAATGACGGGGTTGGACTTGCATTAAAGGCCAAACCTGCTAAGGTTCTGAAATGCACAAGAATGCTACTGATACTACGCAAGAACCATGCTTTTTCAGTATTAGTATTCAGTTCTGTATTAGTTAAAATGGCATGAAAGATGATGTGGCAGGCTACATAATAAATCCCATTGTTCTTACCCATAAGGTATACCTGAAAACCAAATGACTTAATGCTTCAGGCCTTTCAAGCTGTTTATCCTGTCATTTGAGAGACGGAAAAGCAACAACAATGCTGAACTCTTTAGAGAATCAACCAAAAATTTTGAGTTGTTAACTATCTATCATAGATCCCTACAGATTCCCTGCTTTTCCTGGGCTCCCAAAGCCACACTGCTCACAATATGTAAGTTGAGAGAACCTAATTTTGTTGTACAGAACAGGGAGGTTGAAGCCTTGCACTAATTGCAAACCAGTATGTAGTATCACCAGTGGAGCTATGACCAACTCCTGCATAAGGCTTACATAAGCGGTGAGTCATACAGCCTTACGAAAGAACAGGGAGCAAGGCTTTCATTATGTTGTTTGCCTAATCAGAAATATGAAAATAAAAGAACACAGCACTCAGTGGGTTACGTTTGGCTAACTGTACACTGGAATTTCTGCAGTCGCACCACTGTGATTGAGGCATTTCGTTGTTTGTGGTCCCAGCTTATATTAAACAGAGAGGGTTTTTTTCATAAATCTTTGCCTCTAGGGCAGAGTAAAGGTTCTTTGGGAACCCTAACTATGTGTTTCCAGGCATTAATGTCTGGAAGCAGCACCAGGAGAGTAGAAATGGAGGTACGTGCCTAGGGAGGATACTAGGAGTAAATGAAGAGGCCCAAGAGCAGGGTAGGGTTTGTGAGGATAAGCATGTGAAGAGGCAGTGGAGTGGAAGAAAGCTTTTAGAATGACTGAAAAACAATCTAGTGATGATTTCTCATATATCACTAGTATCTTTCCATGCTCTCAGGCAGGCAGTTGGATGGATATTACTTTATCCAGCGCTGCTGTTAGCCATGAGCTGTGACACCTACAGCCCTTCGAAGACAGCTGGAGAGTTCTGAGGATCAAAGTTGGCTGTGGCTTTATGTGCACTTTTATGCTGCTCTGATTAACCCATGACTGCTTCTCATTTTCTTCCATTGATGCTCTGCACCTCATGTGGCAAACTGGATCAACAAGCTTGCCTCTTGGTGAAAAAAAACATAGCAATTAATAACTATGCTTTTTCTTTTCCTAAGCATGTGGCTACAGTAGCTGAACGCTGGAAATGAGTGACAGGAGGAGGGCGCCTGGAGCTGAAGAGCTGCACGGCTGAATGGGAACTTCAGCTTTGGAGCAGCAGAAGGTGAGGAATTCCCGCATCAGAGCTGTTTGAACAATCCAGATTAAACCTCTTATTTCTTCAGATGGCTAATTCGGGAGCCTATGGAGCTGTAGCCTCTTCATCACCATCTCATTCCCCAATGGGCCCACATGCTTGCTCAATGCAAGTACTCCTGTCTAACACAGAACACCTAAGCAAGAGGGTATTTCTACCTGCCCTATAACCTACCTCTTTGCTTTACTGTCTGGAAAGGGAACACAGGCCTGTGTGGCACAAGTAGAAAAGGTACTGCTACATGAAGCATTACAGAATGTGCTTCTCAGTAAATTGTCAGTCTGTGAAAAGGACTAGTATGCAGGTGCTTGGAGCTTGGGATTTTAGAAGGGGGCTGGGTTTTGGTTTGCGGCTTTTCTGGGGAGAACACCCTTCATAAACCAAAGGGGGTAAAAAAAGTTATTGAAAGCTGGTTTAGTTGAGCCTTAAAATAGCTTTCAGAATGCCTCCCCACACCGCTAATCCTTTAGCAGCTGCTCTGGCTCCACTGCAGTAGCAAAAACCCAGGCCCTGTCCCTCAGCCCTGACCGTGGGCAGCTGAAGGGCAGGGGTTAGAGTCCGGGGTAACTGCTGGCTCCGTCCCGCCGAGCACCGGGGGGATGCTGCAAGCTGTGAACCTGGAAGGAACGGAGGCTCCCGCTCCTTTTCAAGTCTACGCTTTACTCCTATGGCAATGGCAGGAAGCAGCACCCGCGATTAGCATTGCCCAAATCAAAGCCTTTTAAAACAAAGCGAATTTAAAGAATGAGGTTGTCGCAGGTGCGGTTTTCTTTGCGGACACTTGGATTCCCGTCAAACCTAGAGCCATTCCCCCGAGCGCGGCCGGCGGCCCTCTGATGTTAACGACTCAGCAGAGAAGCTCTATTGAGTCCTTAAAGGGCACTGATAGCCCGGGCGAGGCGCGGCCGCCCCCCCTCGGGGCAGCGGTCATCGGGCTGAGCACCCTGCCCAGCTCTCCGCGCGGTCGGCTGGCCGCTTCCAGCCTCGGCGGGCCGGGGCCCGCGGAAGGGCCGCTGTCCGCTTACCTCAGGGCTATCACAGGCGCGGTGGCCTCCCTGAGCCATGGCAGGCCTGGAGCTGGCCCTGGCCTTGGCCGGGCTGCTGAGCCTGCCGGCGGCCAGCGGCCTGCCCCTGCGCCCCGGCCCGCAGGAAAAGGTTCTGGCGGCGGCCTTGCAGAGGCTGCGGGAGGTCTTCGACATCGAGGAGCTGCCGCCCGACGTCCTGCCCCGCAAGAAGCCGCCTCAGTTCATGGTAGATCTCTTCAACAAAGTGGCTGACGCCAACGGCATCACCCGTGCTCCGGGGCTGCTGGAGAGCGACGTGGTGCGCAGCTTCGAGGACCGAGGTGGGCCGGGGGCCCGCAGGGGCGCTGGGGGCAGTGGGGCCGAACCGGCAGGGCAGTTCCCCGCACCTACGGCGTTTCCCGGACGGGGAGCGGCCGCCGTGCCCGCTGCCTAGGTCCGCTGGAGGTCGGAGCTGACCGGCCGCTGCTGTGGAAAACGCGAGGCACAGCTTGAATGCGGAGTCTTGCGTGGTTCCTGAAGAGGGCTCTTTTCCAGTTCACGTGGACCAGTACCAGTTCTACTTCGACATCAGCGCGATGGAGAAGGGTGAGCAGATGCTAAAAGCAGAATTCAGGGTCTTCAAGCTGAAGAGGACACATGTGGCTATGAGGTCTGACATGAAACACTTCTGCAAAGTAAGTGGGAAATAATCTGTCAGCTAAACACTCACATGTGCTTTCTTTGTTAATGATACTGGAAGTGAGGAGTGCAACCACGTAAACTTGCTTTATTTCTTTCTGGCTTTGGCTGTATGTGTGCTGTCCTTTGCCACTATGGCAGTGAGCTCTCCCTAAGGATAACTGTGTCGGACCTATCTGAAACCACATAGTGCTTTTCTGGGATCTGGGATTCGAAAAGAAATTTTTCTGCTTGAGTTGTTCTAAAAAGTAGTAATAGCAGTCAGGGATTCATAGGAAAACAGGGCGGGAGAAGGATCCGACCTTGAGCATATCTGTTTCTTTGGCAAAAGGCAGGATTGGACATTTCGCAAACCTGAAGGCAAAGACGTGGAGGAAAAGAAGACTTTGATGGCATCAGGTGTTCAGAATGGAAGTAAAAGGGGTGGTCAGGGTATTTTTCTATAGTATCAAACAGTCCAGTATCCTGCCTCTGAACACAGCTAGAAGTAGATGTACCTAACAATACTTTTTGCCTGGTTTAGAATGGTAGTATAATTTTATATCTGTGATTTTGCAGAAATGTGCATAATCTTTGTCCTCCTTGTTTTGCTGGAAAAATAATTGGTTTCATGTCTTGCCTTGTTGTATTGCTCCCATCAAGGTGGAAGTGTATGAGCTCTTGGAGAGTGGAAGCAAACCACAAAAAAAACGTCTCGTTGCTTCAAGATTATTGTCTCTGTACACAGAAGGCTGGGAAGTATTCAATGTCACGCAGACAGTAAGCAGAGAATTCTGACTTAATTCTAAATTTCTTAAGATGACAGTCAGCTCTTGACTCTAGCATTGTGCTGGGTTTTGTGGTCCGTTTGAACTGAAGGGACAGCAGCAGAGGAAGAAGCTTTCTCTCTACACTTAAAAGTACACCTGATGCAACCTGAATTAAAGAAGTGTTTATAAGCTGCTAGTAGCATGGGCATGATGGGAATTGAGTAACCCAAACCTAGTAGATTGGAGAGACATCATGCCAAGTACGTCATTGTGATTAAAACATGTTAGTGCTTTGGCTGCCAAAGTAGATGACACTGATTGTGTACTAAGAGTAGGTTTTCATTGTCCTTTTAGTCTGGTGACATTATTACAGAGCAGAGTGCTTTAGTGTTGTATTTCTAGAATTTATAATGGCTGAGTTGTTTTTCATTTAACTTCCTCCTCTGTAGACTTCTTTATTTGTTAGTTTCAAGATTTGTTTTGGAGCTATCCTTAAACTGTAACACTGTGTGAATGCCTTTCTATAGCAAAAATCCAAATGTTTTTTAAAACATATAGTTTCTTAGTTGCCTAAGCTTTATGATCAGAATCAGCAGCATGCTTGGATAATCGGTTGAGTTGTATCTTAATTCATGATAGCCCTGCTTGAAAATGGCCTGGCCTTAGCTATTAGTCTGTAATTATAACAATTAGAGAAAGTAAATTTGCTCGATGGTGAGTTAATTTCTTCAAATGCCATGTTTGTTAGATTTAAATGGGTTTTAATGGTATGGAAAGTCTGGAGAGTTCATACTCTGTTATTAAGATTGCTATGAAAAATACATTCCTGGCTAAAGTCAGAGAGGATTTATTTTCATGTTAGTTTTAAGTCCTAGACTCATCTATGCACTAGTAAATTCTCAGAAATTAATTATCTTCCTGTAAATGTAGCTTTGGGGAATGCATATGATATTTTGTATTCTTAGTTGTTGAATTACTGGTTAAAATATTAAACTCAATTGAGTCTCAGCTCTACATTTACCTCACTTCTGTCATAATGTATGTTCTTACACTGTCATAGCTTGTTGCCTGTTCCCTTTTCCTAATATAATCATTGCTTAATTGTAATGCTGTAATAAGAATATTGAAACAATATCTTTTCCTTTCCCTATCATTGGCAGGTTTCCAAGTGGGTTGAAAACAGCAGCTCCAACCATGGCTTTTTGATAACTGCAACACATGTATTCAACAATAGAATTGAGCACAACCTGGTTAAGTTTGCTAAGAGCCAGCGCACCTTGCAGGAGAGTAGAAATGCTCTCCTCGTCCTCTTCACCAACAGTAACAAACGGAGGCCTCCCGGCTTCATGCCCTCTGCCACAAGTAAGTTCACAAAGGAGCAGTGTCTGTTTTACAGTATGAACTCCACGTTTATCTTCAGGTCCCTTCTGCTGCCTCATGTATACCTAATCTCAGTCTTGAGCAGGTTTAAAGTTAGGCTTTGTCACTGGTCAGTTTGATTTGACAGTTCTTGCTATCAGGTCACCCAGCATCTTAAGTTGCCTTTCCCCTCAGTCAAACTGTTTTTGCAGGAAATACTTTTAAAGTTTAGGGTAAATCTGGTTTATTTTGTCTGAAAATGGGTGTGAATTCTATTTTTTTAAATTACTATTTATATTACTTTTGCGGTGGTGAAGCTTGTGTGAAAGTTGTTTAGGTTTATGCTAAAAAATCTCAGTGACCTGGAAAACTTTCTGAAAATGCTGGTAAAGCAACTATAAGTAGAGTCATTAAGTGCAGTGTTCAAGACTGGAAGAGGTTGTTAAATAAGCAATTTAAACCTCTCTGTTCTTGGCTTGGTTTTTAAGCACCTATTTCACTTCAGTGACTATTTAGCACTGTGACTAAAGGCTGCTTTCATCGCAGGCAACACCCTCATCCTTTAAATTGCAAAACACAGTGTCTTACCTCCCCCACTGGTCTTGCAGTAAAACCAACTAAGGTTTAGTTTTGGAGCCTGATAAATGCAAAGAGCAAAAGCTGGGAGGAGGCACAAAAATTGCTCTGTCTTAAGTTTTCTGGTAAACAATTACATCTGAATATTAGAAACTAGGTAGCACTTGCATCAGTATTAAGTGGTGAAATTGATTAAAACCAAAGATGATGCTGGCTTGTCTATTTTTGCTTTTCAAATAAATTTTTTATAGTGAAGTCCTAGATCCCAGCGTAATGAGCATCAAGCTCTGTATGGAATACTGTTTCAGGACTGAGAAAGTGAAGTGAAGAAACTCCCTAGACTTGTTTGTGGTCAGTGAACTTGTGCAGATTGTTCTTCTGTACGTCAGTGTTTTTCAACATATGGATCCTAAGGTATCCACAGGCATTTAACAAGCCTTCCCAAAAGATACCATAAGAAAGCAAACCTACTGTCACTAACCTTTATTCTCCAGCAAAGTTCCATAAACCTGATGGTAGTTCTTTTCAGATCCAAAAATTGGAGGGGGGGGGGAGGGAACCAAACCAAAACAACCTGCAAAACAAGAAAAAAAACAAACAAACAAAAAAAAAACACCAAAAACCTTTACTGGGTGGAGTTTCTAGGAGGAATACTGGGGAGAGAAAAAGGCAGTGTTCTCCACCCTCTTTTAACACTGCTCAGTGTGTTATGTGTTGTAGGTGTGGTGTTATAAAGACCATTAATACCATTATTTACCAGATTCAGCCCTGAAAAGGGCCATGTGGAGTTCACAGAATGTGTTAGCATATCACAGAGCTTCTTCTTTCTCTTTCTGCTAAATTGCAGTCCTTGAGGCCACCATCAAGAGAAACACAACATTTGGCAAGTTTGGAACTATGGCTGAAATGGCAGTTGAATACACACCCTTTTTGGGACCTCCACAGTTTAGGTGTCACTTTAAAATTTACTCTGAAGACATTGATGTAGATTTACAGAATAGGCTTTCATGCAGAACACTGGAAATTAAGGAAAATTAATTAGGAAATTAGTTCATTTTGAGAAAGTTTAACACACAACTTCCTTTCAGAACCGGAGATGAAGCCTGCCAAAAATGATGCTCCACACATGCCTCGCGAAGCTCAGGTCATCGAAAGCATAAATGCAGGCATGAGCAGGAGACCTCGAGCTGCTGAAATCCCTTCTGCCAAAAGCCAGGTAACAGCATGTCATCGAAGGGAACTCTACGTTGACTTCCATGCTATTGGCTGGTCAGGATGGATTATTTACCCAAGTGGATACAATGCATTTTATTGCAGAGGATCCTGTCTCTTCCCCTTGGGGGAAGGTCTAAATGCAACAAACCATGCTACAGTTCAGTCCATAGTCCATACACTTAAACTGTCTCAAGATATCAGCACACCCTGCTGTGTGCCAGATGAATTGAAGTCCCTCAATCTCCTCTACTTTGATGACAAGGAGAATGTGGTCCTTAAAAATTATAAAGACATGGTGGCAACAAGGTGTGGTTGTCATTAGCAAGACCTTTTTTTGTCTGCATTTGTGCACTTGAATTCAGTTCCTCATTTGCCACTGAAGATACCAAAGGAGATGGCATTTCAGTTCATAGGGCAGAAGAGCCAGAAACTCAGTTGTGCTTCAAGTCCTTCTCCCTCCACCATGGCTGTATGGAAAGATGTTCAAGGCTGGCTTTCAAAGAGCTGTGGGCATCTGGGGGGTATGCTGACTTGCATGGAGTATCTGTACACCAGGGGAAACCATTAAAAATTGGAATTTGTTATTTGAAATGGTTCAAACACATTAAGTTGACCGTTCAAATTAAGGGCTTTTTTTGTATACTGAGGCTCAGAATTTCCTATGATTTAAAAGGCAGGTATCCTGCTTCAATCCACGACAGGGTGCAGGTCTCCCAGTAACACAACCTTACTCAGTTTTGACTGCATGATCCAGTGGCAATGTACACCCCTAAACAGAGCTTTCAGGATTAGTGTTTGCCCAGAGCTAGTCTGAGAGAACTCTACCATCTGCATCTCATGCATTACTGAGAAATGCAGTTCTTTCCACTGTTCTTTATGCAGGTCTGCCAAATGCAGAGACCTCCTTGTAAGTCTCCCTGGCACTTGCTAGCCAATCTGAGGGAGCACATAGGTCAGTATTTGTCTGGCAAACTTGGATTCTGACTTGGGGCCATACTGGTATAAAACATACATATGATGAAGGGTCAGACAGTTCCCCTCTTTGTAAAATCTTTCTCTTCCACCATGGTCTGCTGTGGTTGTTGGGCTGTGTGACAGCAGAGGTTGCCTTTGAGCATTTATAACAGTGACTGTACAATGGCATCATAAGCTTGGATCAGAATCCTCGTAGTTCAGCAGATAAAAAGAACATTAAGCTTTGAGGTCCATGAGAACATGCTGGGTGCTGGCCTGGTTCCATATCTGAGGCAATTTTAATGGAAAGTACTCACTGGTACTCTTCCATTCTTCCCTGAAGAATAGGACATAGATGTGGAAGGGATCTCCTAAGTTCTTTCAGCCTTGTTACAATTTAACGCAGGTAACAAGCCCATTTCAGTTCCTTAATCAACTCATTGAGTTGAAATGTAAGCCTGCTTAGGTTTCTTGTCACCATTAATCCTTGAAGGAGGCCTGTCTTCTCACAGAACATGACATTTCCTGTGGGTAGAAACTTCATGGAGAATTTTTTTACTCCAGTGAAATTTAAGAAAAGAAAGATATATATGTAAATGTTTTTCTCTCTGTAAATACTGATGTCTGTAATTTTATTTAAAACAAACACTTGTATATTAATCTGTAATATAAATGTTAATATGCAAATAAATTTAACATGACATTGGTCTGGGGTTTTGCTCTATATTTGATCCTCTTTCCTAGAGACATGAATCAAACACTTTCCCAGATGACAGGACATTCGTGATGACTTCAGTGGGCACTGTATCAAGTCTTCTGACTCCATGTCAAGGAGTATAATAGATAAGCAGAATAATTTTGTTTCCCTTCAGGTATGATCCAGTAATTATCCCTGAAAAGAAACCCACATTGAAGCTTCTTGTAGCTCTCACTTGAATTAGGCACAGAGATTAAAGCCCTTCATGTTGGTCTTTTGTAGTGCTTGTAAAAAAACCCACCTCATGGAGGTCCTGAACTTAAAGTACCTGTTATGGTGTCCTGGGTTCAGCAGCAGCAGTCATTTTTCTCCTTCTTAGTAGCTGGTTCAGTGCTGTGGTTTTGACTCTCAGTCTGGGATCAGCGCTGATAACACCAATGTTTTTAGTTGCTGCTTAGTAATGTTTACTCTGACCAAGGACTTTCTGAGTCTCATGCTCTGCCAGGGAGGAGGGGAAGCCAGGAGGAAGGAGAGACAGGACACCTGACCCAAACCAACCAAAGAGGTATTCCATACCACAGTATGTCATGCCCACTATATAAACTGGGGCAGTTACCTGGAAGGGTTAGATCACTGCTCGGGTCAGGCTGGGTGTCGGTCGGTGGGTGGTGAGCAGTTGTATTCTCTTCCCTTGTTATTTCCCTTATCATTATTATTATTGGTGGTAGCAGCAGTGGGTTTGTGTTATACCTTAGTTACTGGACTGTTCTTATTTCAACCGGTGGGAGTTACATTTCTGTTGATTCTCCTCCCCATCCGTCCTGGAGCGGGGGATTGGGGGGGAAGGGGGGGGAAGCGAGAGAGAGACTGCATGGTTCTGATTTATGGCTGGGCTTAAACCACGACATATGGTTTAAATTTCCTTGATGTGCAAGGTCTTATTTTCATGTATGTTGTAATATCTTGGGATGCCTTCATTAAAATTTCACTAAGTTAGAAAGTGAGGACAAAAGAAGCACTGTTACTCACAGGTAAAATATATGGATGGGAAGAGTGTGCCCCATATGTGTTGGCCAGGCATGTGCTTATCAGAACTACAGCCTGGAATAGGTGGAGTAGAGGAGGCTGAACAAGACAAAGATTTAGAAAGAAAGGATAGTATGCATGGGTCAGTGTGCAGAGGAGGGTTTTCCCCTGCCTAGTTGTTTTCTCTAGAAGGCTGCAGAGGCTGTTGTAAGAATCTGTGGAGCTGTGGCACTCTGATATCAGATCAGATCCAAGAGAGGACCTTGCTGCTGGCATAAAAAAAAGTGTCCTTTCTGCAGAGCAGCCCATCATCACCATGCTGACCACACTGCCTCGTGTTCAGTATTCTCTGCCTATGTAAAATGCATAGTGGTGGGTGGAGGGTGTTTTGATCTTGTGTTCAGTATTCTCTGCCTATGTAAAATGCATAGTGGTGGGTGGAGGGTGTTTTGATCTTGGTATATGGTCACTCTGGTAAAGGGGCATATAAATGTGGTAGCCAGGTGGTGATAGCTGTTGCATCAGCTGCACATTGTCACTGGACTCAGTGCCATTGGCAAACGGACCTTGGAAAGTGTAAAGGGTTATAATCTCACTTTTCTGGTTTCTCAGGCTGCTTTTCTGCATTTTTCCCTTTTCTCTGCAGAAGTATCTGTGGGGCTTTTTTTAAGTTTATAGGAACCACACATTGGGAGTGAGAAAATGTATCTACAGTGAAAGTCCAGACAGGGTAATTTCTGAATAGTGACTTCAGATGATTTATTTATGGTTCTTTTGGTAGGGCCCCAAAGAACTGAAGTTTTCACTGCCAAATAACACTGGAAGAAGGACTTCATTTGGAACAGACTGGCTGAGGCAGGTTCTCCATCCAACATGCTCCAGTCTTCAGTCCATGACATGACAAATGCTTCACCATCAGCTGTGTATCAGCTGCATCCTCTGCTGCTCAACTCAGCGAGTTGTCCTTTTTTTTTCCAGGATATATTAATGAGATTCTTCTTGTTTCAAATGCCAGGGAAAAAAAGGATTTTTTTTTTTTATTCAAAAGCAAGTGTGATTAATAAATAAATGATGGGCACATTGAATATTAGCTCACATAGTACTGCTCTACAGTAGGTGAAATGCACATAGCCAAACTAGGAGCACTCAGTAGTTTTGCACACGTTAAATTATTTTTTTCCGAACCACTCAACATAGTCTCATTATGCCCCATTAAACCCTGATAATTAAAACAAAATATATTGGAATTGTTTATCCTGGACTTTGTAAGGAAATGAGGTTCATAATAATGCCAAGGGAAAAAATTTACACTACACTAGAACTCGTAATTAGAGTAACAATTAAGCACAAGTATACTCCTCTCTTTTTTCCTTTCTTTCTTTGGGTTTTTTGTTTTGTTGGGTTTCTTTTTTTTTTTTTTTTTTTAGAATAAAGGTACATTTTCTTGTTATTCATAAACTGAAAGTAGGAATTCCAGAATAAGAAATGCTACACTTTGGAGTCTTGATTTAATGAGAATATCATATGCTCAGGTGACATATCAAAAGTGACAGTTAGGGGTTTGGAGGGAATAGTTATTCTTCAACATGGGCAGTTTGGAAAAGGATTGGTGACTCAGACTGGGCATTGTTATATCGTGTTGCGTTGCAACAGGAGCAAGAGGAAGCAAACCGCATAGTACCAAGACCAGTGAGGAGCACACCTGGCCGTGAAGAGTTCTCCTTCCAAAGCACAGTAAAAACAAAAGTGAATGACTGCAGATTTTGTCTGCAGGATGCTACCAAGAGTACCGACACCCCAGAGCCTGAAATTTGGAAGTATGCAGAGGAAGAGTCCCACTTGAAAAGATAGAGTGCTTTGCAGCATCTCTCCCCTGTTTCCAACTCCAAGTCCTGATGAGAGCACTGCTACAGCAGGCATTATGCTCTCTGAGCCAGCTCAGCTGGTGACTGGAGGCAGAGCGCCCTATTATTCACAGTGGTGCATCTGTACAGAGCTCAGCTCAGCAACTCAAGGTCTGCCAACTTGGATCCCTCAACTTGGACAGCTCATGCATCTCTGCATCCTCTCCATAGCATGTGATCAATGTAATTCTCCTCTGGTAAATAACACATCTTGCATTTTATACCCACAGGCACATGGAAAACAGGATTTCAGAGGCAGAAAAACTCAGAGAATGCCTAGGAAGAGAATCCAAACCTATGGTAAGGTTATAAACAACCCCATGATAAAGAATTTGGCCCAGGGATGGGACTAAAGAGATCCAGGTGTGTGTAGTCACAACTCATTACTGTGTAAGGTGAGGAGAGTGCTAAACCTGGCCTCAACAATGCTGCAGTGGGATGGTAGTGGGGTCTGAGTATGCTATGGGGAGAGCTACTGATAAAGAGCACAAGTCTACAATAGATCAGACTTCCATGGACTCCTGTTCATAGAAATGTTTAAGGGATTTCTGTGAGGCTCTTGTCACAAGGTACAGATGACAGGAAGGTGCTGCTTGGCACTGAAGCAATGGGATATGCTGGGGGTGTCCTTAGGCAGGTAAAGCAGAAAGGATGGGCTTGGGGAAATTGGTCTGGGATGGTTTCCTCTGTGAGGTGGGAGATAACTTAAATGTGCCTGCCCTGAGGAAGCTGGAGCACAGCAGTGCTGTAGGTAGTTGAAAAACCTCTGCTCTATTCTGTCTGTCCTATAGGCTTGAAAATTATCCTCAGTATGAGGCATCAAGTTAGGAATGTCTGAGTTTTTTCCAGACTGCCTAGGGTGCTTACTTTGGTTCCTGTTCTCTGTGTAGGAAACGGGACATTTATGTGCTTTACTTGAAATACCCGTGGAAGATTCATAGCCCTGAAGCCTTCCTGGAAAGAGAGGAGAGAAGCTTCGTGCCTATCATGAGTTCTGGGGCTTTCCCACAGATACCAAATCCTCAAGATTGCTTCCAGGCCCCTTGACATCACACATGCAAATATGCACAGGTAAATGTGTATACCTGTATGGCTTCTTTCTGATGTACACCCATGGCTACATGCATTCAGGTTCAGAGGCAGGCTCCCTCCCTCCTCGTTTATCCCTGACAGCTTCCACAGGATACTGCTACTTAACCGTAACTGAGGTGGAATGCTTGGGGCTAATATGAGGACTTTGCCACATACAAAGGGTGCAACTGCTTTCTGTAAAAGTATGTCACACCTAGGTCATTTCTTCCCTTCTGGACTTGAGTGTAGCTCACCTCCAAGGAGAGCAGTTAGGAGGTGTGAATTGACCTTTGGTGAATGACACAATTGTGCCTTAAAGCAGCTAACAAAATGTGTTCTTTCTTCCTACTGGGTTTATTGCTAAAAGCCATTCACAAAATAAAAGGGACTGCTAACTTCTGTTGTTGCAAGGAGATTCATGCAGATACTAACTGCCCTAATTCAGAGCTAGATCACAGCCTATCTTGTTTCTCGAAAACAAAAGCCTGTATGTGGGAAAATTACCTGTTACTGAAAAGTGTTTGTCCTTCAACTGAAACCATGATTCTGTGATGCCGTAAACCTTGGTCTCATGACACAAAGCAGCATTATGGAATAAATCCCAGTGCACTGTTTCGGATCTGCTCACAGAAATCTCTCCTGGTTAACTATCAGGTTAAACGGAATTAGCAGGCAGCATAAGGCCATTCCAAGGCCAGGTTGGAGAGAGCCTTGGGTGACATGGTTTAGTGTGAGGTGTCCCTGCCCATGGCAGGGGGTTGGAACTTGATGATCTTAAGGTCCTTTCCAACCCTAACTCTTCTATGATTCTATAAAAACAGGTGTGTGGACTTCAAAATCAGTATAGACTCCCACTGTGATCTACATAGGAATAGATTGTTTGTCCATGTCACATTTTCTGCTGAATATGCTGAGCCA